TACCCCCCCCCCCCTCTCTGTTCCCCTCTGTTCTCAGGAGAACCCGTACCCCGCCGTGGCCATGCACAAAGTCCAGCGGCCGTCGGACAAGAAGCAGAACGGTGCTCAAGCTCCGGTTTGCTTCCCGGTGTTGGACGAAGTTGCCGTGCAGCTGTGCATCGACCACGCCGCGGCCAAGATGAAGAACGCTCCACCTGTGGTCAAGGCGGAGGTCAAGAGCATGGTGCCGTCTGGGCCGTCACTGGGTGAGAGGTCACTGGGTGAAAGGTCACTGAGTGAAAGGTCACTGGGTGGACGTGTGTGTTTTAACACGCTGTCGTACCAGGTGTCTGTGGTACCAGCACTGACGGACCATAAAGTCCCAGACGTGTTCTGACGATGTCGCCGACTTCTCTCAGAACCAACTTGTTTTTTTTTTTCCTCTGCAGTCGACAGGGTGGACAGGAACGGTGGTATGTTGGCCAACAGCGCCCGCCGGCTGGAGGTGGTGAGGAACTGCATCACCTACATCTTTGAGAACAAGATGCTGGAGGCGAAGAAGGTGAGTGTTCACATCAGAACACCGACCTCCGAAGTCTTTTTTTTTTTTTTTTCAAATCATTGGTTCTAATCGTGCGTTGGTTCCTCTTGTGCGTCTGTGCGTGTGCAGCTGATGCCGGCCGTACTGCGGGCGCTGAAGGGTCGAGCGGCGCGGGTTTGTCTGACCCAGGAGCTCAATCAGCACGTCCTGCAGAATCGAGCCGTGCTGGACGACCAGCAGTTTGATTACGTCGTCCGGATGATGAACTGCACTTTACAGGTGAGTCCTGAAGAAACCAGAGCAGAAAAACACACGTCAGGAAACCAACGAACGATGTCGTCTGAACCCACTGTCCTCTGTGTCTCGTTAGGACTGTTCCCACATGGATGAACACGGTATTGCAGCTGCCCTGCTTCCATTAGTCACGGCCTTCTGCAGAGTAGGTTCATGACCAGCGTCACCAAATTCACCAACGACGTTGTTTCCACGACGACTGTTTAAAAACAAACATCGTCTTCTTTAACAGAAACTGGGAGCAGGAATCACTCAGTTCGCCTACAGCTGCGTGCAGGAGCACATGGTTTGGACCAACATGCAGTTCTGGGAGGCCATGTTCTACAGTGATGTCCAGAACCACATCAAGGCTCTGTACCTGGAGGCCGATGATGGGGGCGGGGCCCGGGTCTCGGTAAGAACACGCCACCGTGCGGTGCAGTTATCAGCTGTGATGGTCCAGTGGAGAGTCGTGGTTCTGTCTGTGGTCCACGGGCCACAGACAACGTCGACCGGTGGTGACTGTGGTGTGATTGGCTCCCAGGAGCAGCAGGAAGGAGCAGGCGACACCAGGGAGGTCGGTGCCCTGGAGCTAGCCTCGGAGCAGAACAGACTGTGGCCCACGCTGAGTAAGGAAATGCAGATGGAGCGCGTGCAGAAGGAGGAGAGCACGGTGTTCAGTCAGGCCATCCACTACGCCAACAGGATGAGTTACCTGCTGCTGCCGCTGGACACCAGCAAGAACCGGCTGCTGCGGAACACGGGCCTGGGAGACGTGGAGAGCGTGAGCAACAGCTACGTTACCAACAGGTACGAACACGTGTTCCAGCAACAAAAAAAAAAGTTAGTTGTGTTCAGGTGTGTTGGCTTATTTCTATTGGTCATGATTGATCGTGATTAATTGCAATTGTGATTAATCCCGATAAATTGCAAAGACAATTTATCGTGATCAATTGCGATGGCAATTGATTGCGGTGAATTGCGATGGCAATTGATCGCGGTGAATTGCGATGGCAATTGATTGCGGTGAATTGCGATGGCAATTGATTGCGGTGAATTGCGATGGCAATTGATCGCGGTGAATTGCGATGGCAATTGATCGCGGTGAATTGCGATGGCAATTGATCGCGGTGAATTGCGATGGCAATTGATTGCGGTGAATTGCGATGGCAATTGATTGCGGTGAATTGCGATGGCAATTGATCGCGGTGAATTGTGATGACAATTTATCGTGATTACTTGATGATAATTGATCGGGATTAATTGCGATTCAAATATCGTGATTAATTGTTATTTATTTATTTTTATATATTTATTTATTCCCAGCTGTCGTGTGATTGATCAGACCGTGTGTGTGTGTCTGTTTGTATATATGTGTGTGTGTGTGTGTGTGTGTGTGTGTGTACGTCATCCAGTGTACATATATATGAGGATACATGCTGTGATGTCATCACATGTCTGTAGTATTGCAGGCAGTATGGCGGAGAGCTACGACACGGAGAGCGGCTTCGAGGACGCAGAGAGCTCTGACGTGGCCAACTCCGTGGTTCGCTTCATCAACCGCTTCGTGGACAAAGTGTGCAACGAGAGCGGCGTGACCAACGAGCACCTGAAGGCTCTGCACACCATGATACCAGGTGTGTGTGCGTGTGTGTGTGCGCCTACCATCATGTGAGTGTGTGTGTGTGTGTGCGTGTGCGCCTACCGTCACGTGACCCTCTCTGTCCACGTCATGTGACCCTCTGTCCACGTCACGTGACCCTCTCTGTCCTCGTCACGTGACCCTCTCTGTCCACGTCACGTGACCCTCTCTGTCCTCGTCATGTGACCTTCTCTGTCCTCGTCATGTGACCCTCTCTGTCCTCGTCATGTTGACCCTCC